GCCAGCCTGTGCCACCTGCCCTCAAAGTACACAATTGCAATGACTTCTCACACCCTTGCTTGCCAAACAATCTACTCATACAGCATCACTTTGCTGCCCCAGCGCGCCTCCCTTCCTGAAAGCAGTACACCCACTGTTGAGCTGCAAACACCTCACAGCCAGCACCCCCAACAGCAGTCCAACACATGCAGGCCCGTTCAGAGATGCCAAGGCATGTATTCAGCCGTACACAAGTGTACACATATTCAGCCGTACAAACCTACTCCGCCCATGCTACCACTCATATCTGTAGCTGTTTCCTTGTACAACTCAGCGCACTTACAGATACATGCCCATCTGTGCCTATATCTACACAACCTGCAACACCAGCAAATGAGCAAATGCCCAGCAATGACCAGTCCCCAGGTACACACCAGCTGCGAGCCCAACCGTTAACATGAATCTGCATGTCTAGAGGGCCCAATAAGGCATCATGCCATGGTGACCAAGACAAGCAAAGCCACCGACTAGATTTCTAAGCCTCTGACGTTCACAACCTTGTGCCCACATCCACAGCGGCCACCATACCAGCCATCACCAGCGGATGCAGCTGCCACAGCTGCAGTGGCGACACCATCACCGCCAACTGGGGGCAGCAGAGGAGATGCTCGAGATATGCGGCTTCGGAAGGATGACCATGCGCGGATTCAACCGTGGCAGATGGCTGCGCCTCGGAATTGAGATGCCCGTTGGGGACCTGCTCAAAGCAGACGGCGCAACATGGCCACCTCTGCCAGCAGTCGGAAAGTTGCTGCTGCTGCTGCAGCTTCCAGGGCTGCTGGATTCGGAACCAGGAGCAAAGCCTACCAGGGGGATCTCGATGGCAAACTGATCGATCTCGATGGAGTCCTTAGCTGCCCCCTCAAACTGTTGCTTCCTGAACTGCTTGAACAGGTCGGGCGGCACTGCAAAGTACATTTCGCGCTTGAGCCCCTTCAGGTCCCTGGACAGTTTCCGCATGGAGGTTTGCAGCCCTGACGCGCTAATACGGTGATTGGCAGAGACAGTCACCTGGATAAGGAGCAGTCGCGCTGCCTTGCCGTTGCTGTCAGGCAAAATCAAAAAGCTGTCCACGCCGGCGAAGTTCCTCGCCACCGGCACCAGGAGCCCAGACCCTTTTGTTGTGGGGCTGATTTTTTTGAGGTCGCTGTCCTGCACCTCCATCAACTCCATTTCCGGCACCTCCAGGCTGACCTCCTGCTCTCCGGGGTTAGAAAGGCTGCGCATACGAAACGAGCCGCCCCGGCACAGCAAGTAATGTGCTAGCCCCTGGAACATTATGCCTCTAAGTGAGGCCAAATCTGGTCTGCCAGCGGACCACTTAACGAATTTGGCCAACTCAGCAGTACCCTGCCGATGCAACTCCTGCATCACACGCTGGCCGATCATCCCGGAGCCAAAGACTAGGCGTTTCCTGCTGCAGTTCTCATCCACCTGCATGTCATTGCAACAACCCACAACATGAGAAAGGCTTGTCAGATGGTGTGCAGAACCCATGCCATTGCCACACTCTGTGCGCATCCCTGATTTTAAAAATGGCACTGATTTCCAGTGATTCTTCCACCGGATTTTCCCCTGTGGGCCTTTAGATATGCACATCCACCCAATATTGCCTGCCCAGTGCAAAGTCACCAGTCACAACACATGGGGCATCTGCTGTAAGAGGGATCAGCTCCCCTGGCATCTCCCAACTGAGTACTCTTTGCCTGGTGTTACATTGGTGCGAATTGCTAGGAGGTGGGAACTCCCCGGATCGAATTTGGTTGCGAGCAGATCGCACACCAGGCATGATGCAGCATACTCTCACCCCAAAGGTGGATGCCCAGGTGGGCGGGAAGTCTACTAGCCGAGTAAAAAAAAAGTCCTCAATCTCGGATGGGGACTGACGAAATGTCACAATAACAAACTAATACACAACCCTACGGGATCTCAAACAACCTAAATCCTACGGGATATGCCCAGGGGTGCCCGAGGACGTTTCCTCAAGGGGGGGAGGAATGTAAGAGGGATCAGCTCCCCTGGCATCTCCCAGTTGGGAGTACTCTCTGCCTGGAGCCACATCTGCTAATGGTCAAATAGAGAAGACCTCACACCTACCTCGACGTGGATCAGTTTGTGGCTGACATCCGGTGCAGCCTCAATGTTGCCTACGGATTTCCACAAGAGATCCATATTAACGGTTGCCACCGCTGCATCAAGCTCCTCCTGCAGTTCGGGGTTGGCTGCGTACTTCAGGACGTAACGTGGGATGCCGCCCCACCGAGCATACAGCTCTGACAGTTTAGCTTTGCTGACCGAAGAGAACATGATGCCACGTGCTGCCTCCAGCTCCACATAGGACCAGGGGCCCATCCATAACCTCAGGCCAGCTTGCTTGGCATATTCCTACAGGACACATCATTAGCATGCAGGCAACCCTAAGGCACTGATTGGGGCAGTAACCCATGGGTTACCCATTTTCAACCCCCGGTAGCCCTTTGGTAACCCCCTTGTAAGTTCCTACCCAGCAGGAGGGGTAACATGACCCCAGGGTAAACCCCTCCGTTGCCCTGGATTGTGGACATATGTATGGGCCTATAGGCTACTCGTCTTATATGCATCCCACACCGTAAATTCCGCGGATGGATACTTTTTAAAATGTAAACGTTAGCAACCTACAGTATTGTGGTATCTTGGGAAGCATTGTTTGCCAGTTCAACCTTAAGGTCTCTAATGCTGGCATCACACACGCAAGGAATAAGCAATAAATACCTATCTCATGGCCTATTTGGCTGCTGTAAAACAGGAGCTTGTAGATGAGTACAGGAGAAGGCGTGAATGCTGGCAGCATATACACAAGTCGACGACAGGTCTTCACTAAATGGATGCCTTTGGTTGTCATCGATTGTTATATAATAGTTTGCATTGTGAAAACATCAGGCAATCAGTCCTGAGGTCGGCCAACATATTACCGGGCCGGGGATGGTCGTACACATATGTGCATGCTGCTTTTGCCTCCACTGATACTCCTAACGAGCACATCCAAGCTTAATCACAGCTAATTTGCTTGTAAGCTCATGTAATGCACACTCATGGCTGGTATTTTAACTAGACGGACATGCTAAAAAACGCGATGACCACTATCACCAATTCAGACAATCATATTCACTGCCAGCAGTGTTCCTATTGACCATACATACTTTGCACACTTATAATCCACGTTGCAATACTGGTGCATATGGCGGCAAAAATGGTGGTGTTCTATCGTTTGCACGTGCAGACCACCACGACAAGACCGTTGACTCTTTCTGCAGCACAGGCCCACACTTGTGGTGCACCTCATTTAACAAGACATCCAGTGACATCCGAGGATTTTTACCCGGAAGGGCGCCTTACACTTCGCCGGGTGTGACCGTGTTCGGGGTCAAACATCCAGATCTCCCACCCACGCAACCCCTCGACACTCTTAGGAGAATCTGCTCTGAAAACGAGCAGACTCTGGATAGTGTTGCATAGGTCGTGTGTAGAGCTGGAATTAGCAGGTCGAGACGGAGCACTTAAGCTACTGGCCGACCTTACATTGCAGCCCGTTGGCTGCTCTGCAAGTTTTAGCAGCAGCGATAAGTGCCTGGATTTTTTGATAGGAATATTTTTAGCTTTGCTGGCGGCTTCTCGTGGTCCCCAATTTGCTCCGCCTATGTACGCCTGTTCGTCCGCCTCCTTGCATCTAGGCTGCAGCTGTGTGCCATATCCTTAGGTTTAGGTTTCTAAACAAGGCATGTTTTGGTGCAGCAATCTTGATAATTGGGCATTCACAAGTGATTGGTGAAGACATGTATGTTTGCGTGTGTAGACAGGCGCAGGTGAATGTAAACATGGGTTACCCTGTCTGTTACCCATCAGTAGTGTATTAGCCCGACCCCTTTGTTACCCCTCGGTAAGGGGTTACCCCTACCCCGGGGTTAGGTTACCCACCTCCCTTCGTACATAGCCACATGGGTAACCCCTACCCCTACGCCCTGGGTTATACTTAAGAGGGGATTACCCCCCGTTTTATGCCATAGGGCAATAAGAACATGCTAAAAATATGACACAGTGCTCATGCTACCATAGCCAATGGACCCCTGATATGATGCTGCAAGTCCAAGATGACATGGGGCTAAAAAGTGCTAGGAAAGAAAAATCATTCCAAATGTTCAACAAGCCGGGATGTAAGGGGGGTTGGCTCAGCAGCCCCAGGGCAGACCGAACCACATGAAGAATACACGACTTGACACCACAAACCACATTTAAATAGCATCCATGCTAAATGTTTATATACTACTAAACATAACGAATCCACAAGTACATGGTTGCTGTCCATGCCCAGCTGGATTTGCTGGTGGACATGCATGAAACATGCACACCTCATCCTCTACCTCCCCAAACTTTCTTACCACACCTCCAGATGTGCAGGCTATGGCAATATCTGACACAAGTTTATGTCAGTTACAGTGGACCTTGCAACAACCCATCACACGCCAAGCAACCGCAAACCCTACACTATGTAAATGTACTCACGTTGTAGTTCGATTTGCGTGGAGATGATGCCATAACAGTAATTGCCTTCGTGGACTCAGGCTCCACCGCGTCACATATGAACCTGGTCAGCAAACACAAAAACGATTAGGTCACACCATGATTGCCATGATCGAGGCACACATAGCAAAGTCACGAGCAGTACTTTGCACAATGTACCATGTTCTCGGATCTGCTAGCTCCTTGTCAAAAGCTGCAGTGGAGGCTGCCTCGAACACACCGTTGGGTGTAAACAGCAGTGCACGTTTCACGGCCTTGCTGCACCACACGACGGTTTCACCCCGGCATGCCAGCTGATAAAGCAAGTAGTCCAGGAAAGTGCTCTTGCCAATACCTGCATCCAACAACGAATGTTACTCTTCTTGAAGCCTCAGTGTTGCATTAAAATACCCCAGGCAAGGAGCTTGGCCCTTCCAAAGCCAATGCATATTCCCAGCTTCACCATCGCCAATTTCCCAGAACAGTTTAGCTCCCGCACTCAAACCCATCAGCTTGCCTGGCGTGCCGCGAATGAGGACTTGGCGGGAGGGGGGATCAGACTTGCCCACAGATGCAAAGATCTTCTTACACAGGGTGTGGTAGCATGGGCGAACAAGCAAAGTCGTGGAATGGCCAGGATCTGGGAATGCAGTACCGTCTGCAAGCTGCAGGACCTCGAAATTTTGACTAGACTGGGCAACCACCGCCTTCGGTAGCTTCTTCCAAAACTCCTCAAAGGATGCTCCCGCGCGACCTGCAGGACACAAAGCGGAGGTTCTGACCAGCTATAGCCGAATGTTTGGATGTACTACTTATGAGGCAACCACACCCGATTGTGCAACCTCCTCCGTTTCCAAAGCGCCCACCGCGCGGCCCATAACGCGAATGCAGCCATGGACAACATGTAGCTGTAGAGGCCAGCTGTTAAAAGTACCAGCGATGAAAGTACCAGCACCGTTTGCGGAGCAAGCAACTTAACCTAATGTACCCGAAATAGGGGTGGCAACCTACGCTTTACGGTTTTACGCCTTACGCTTTTCGGTTACGGTAAATTACGGTTGGGCCCAAAAACGACCGTAATTTTTCGGTGTGACGGCGTAACGTCAATTACGGTGTCCATTTTGCAAAAGTTACGCTACACCGTAAAATTGGTCGACCGAAGACGCGTCAGGGCCAGGCCCAGTCCTCACCGGAAGTCAGAGGTCCACACGCCACCGCGCCTCCAAGCCCACCGCTCCTCCAAAGCAACATATAATCATCCAACATCCATTCTAGAGCAATTAATGGAAGATGAAACTGTCCGATTTGCCGCGAAAACCTTGCTTCGAAGTTCGAAAACGCACCTCAACATAGCCACAACTAAGTAGATCTATACCAGCACCAAGGTAACTATGTAAACAATGATACTAGAAATCAGCACTCTGCTCATTCTGAAGTGGTCGTGCATTTATTTCCGTGCGAGCGCGCCAATCGCGATGTCGTCATTGCTGTCCGTGTCCGGCAACGCTGGTATGCCGTTTGGGGTCCTCGCCACTCCAGCCAGCAAAGTAGTGCTACTTTTAAGAGTGTTGTTCAGCTTTTTCATGAGCACGGGCTGCTGTTTGGATGTCTCATCGGCCATTGTTACACATGACCCACGTGAACAGAGGTAGCAGCTAAAAAATGTTATTTATTGTTACTATAATTACTAAAATGTTTTGGGTTCACGAAAATGGCCACTGGTACGGGACCGTAAAGCATTACGGTTGGTCTCAGGACGCTCCAAACCGTAACTTACGGTCCAAAAAGTCTATTACGCCGTAAGTTTCCACCCCTAAATGAAACGGCACACCAAGCCCACAAAACCTGTTCCCCCCTTCCCACGTCAGGCACAGAAGGCTCACCTGCAGCAGCGTTGCTGGTGCCAGCATCAGCGCCTGCAGGCGGCAGGCCCACGGCAGGGTGAGCAGGGTGGGTCACTGGAACACCCACGCTGTACAACATGAGCAGCATTAAGTCGTCAAACATAACAACAATGCAGCGCGCACGCACATCATAGACACGGTCGCCAGACAACGTGCAGAGCGTTGTCTGACGACCAACGTGTAGGGGGGCCACTATCACGATGGGGCGCACAGCTGCACGGTAGGGTGCAGGGTGCTGTACTTTTTACAGCCGGCGGTAAAGCGTCCACACGGCACACTCTCCCTTAGAGGTTATAGCCTCGGGTGACAAAGCTTTTAGTCCTGAAGGCGACACACCCTGCCACATATACGCTGATGTTGAAACTTCAACGAAGCCCTGAAAACGAACTGTGACCCTTCGGCTGCGGAAATGCAAAAGTGGCTTCGTCCACTGCAAACAGGTCTACGAAAGATCACCCATCACAGCAAGACCTCTCTTGGCTACGATACCGGCTGTAGGACAGAAATCCTCGCTTATGCAGAAAACTTCTCCGACACCCTAATGGACACAGTCCGCAGGCGATCAGTCGCAAGCCGAACTGCAGACGTACCAAAAGACAACCGGCCTCACGGCCAACCCCATTCAAGTGTGCATAGCAGCATTTACTGATGCTTACTTTTGATGGCTGCCTTCAGGGCGGTAAGCTGCCGGAGATTAAGGTGTGATCGCAGATAACTAACGTCAAGAAGACAAAACGCGTCTCCCGCCTCAGCGTCCACATCAAAACCTTCAGCTTGTAGAGCTTGAAGGATGGGAGCAACCGTGGCTTCGGTCTCTCCGCGGACTGCAGCGAGTGCTTCGCGTATTGTAGTCATTGGAACAGACTACACGACCGAGGATCCAATGACATGCGCTAACCAGGCTAGCCAGGAAAGTCACCCGGTCTGCTCTCGAGCTCAACCGCAACACTGAGAAGTACTGTTTCAGAGAGGAAAACCTGTGACTTGCTGCCACGTTACACAAAACGGTTAATTAGACAGTTAAACATATGTGGTAAACTTCTGTTGCTCTTGCAATTACAATTGTACCGAGTTGCCGGAACTTCGGAGGTTTCGGAGCGGAAAGGAGGTCCTAGTGAGTCTTCGGTCTTAGCGTGCTTCTGTACTGTCGATTTGTCAAAGAGCTACTAATTGACTGGCGACCTCGCCCCCCACAGAAAGCGGGGCTTGCCGAATGGAGACCATGTCTAAGTAGATCTGGACCCTGTGAGCTGCTGACATTTGCTTCAATTGTGTAGGAGGCCACAAGGTCGCCAGAGCGTGCTCACAGTGAACCTGTACTGCGGCTGCGAAAAAGTTTCCGATTTATAGCCTTCCTGCGAAATTCGGTGCGCACGTCCTCTTCGCACAAAAGAAGGACGGCTCGCTTCTCATGTGCCTTGACTTTAGCACTCTATTTAAAAAAATCACCATAAAATCCGGTATCCACTTCCGAACATCACCAACCTCCTCAACACACTCCAGAGCGCGAGTATCTTCCCATCCCTCGTCCTGCAAAGCGGCTACCATCAAATTCGCATCACGGAGGAGGATATCCCAAAAACCAGCCTCATGACACCCTTCGGAACGTTCCAGTACAAAGTGCTGTGCTTCGGGTTGACTAATGCACCGGCGACCTTTCAAAAGGTCATAAACACCGTGCTCATCGACGCTTACTGCGTTGTCAACCTAGATGATATCCTCATCTTCAGCAAAGATCCGACCAGCCACCTCGAGCACATGCGTGCCGTACTCGAATCCCGCAAAGGGGCGTGTTAACGTGCAACGCGCGAAAAGTGCGAGCTGAACAAGCCCGAAGTCAACTTCTTAGGCACCTTCGTAGGCCAGTATAGACTGAGGTGGATCCCTGAAAAATTGAGGCCGTCAAGAACGACCCCGTCCCAAAAGACATGACGGCGCTGTGCGGCTTCCTGGGCCTTGCGAGCTACTTCCGCAAGTTTACCCAAGGGTACTCGTCGCTAGCGACTCCACTCACGCCCTCACCGGCAGCAAACGGCTGACCGAAGGAAGAACTTGCACCAGCAGGCTTTCGACGGCATTAAATACGCCCTCATCAACGCCCGTTGTTGCACCTTCCTGACTTTACCAAACCCTTCAAAGTCGTAACTGACGCCAGCATCTACGGCACAGGCGGTGCACTGCTACAGGATGGCCACCCCGTCGCCCACACCAGCCAAAAGTTCACACCTGCCGATGTCAATTACACCACCACAGAGCAAGAGCTTCTGTGTACTCAATGCCCTACAAGAGTGGCGGCCGTACCTTGAGACCGCACAGGATACCTTCATGCTGGTCACCGACCACCGACTTTTTACCTTGCCGTACAATAGTACGGGTCGTACATCGGATGGCTACGCTGGTGTATCGCATCTGGTGTCTTTCGACACCACCTTGACTGGATTTGATCAAAAGGATATACGTTGCGCTTGGTTACCAAAAGTTGTTTTAGGTTCTGAATATGCGGGGCCTGCACAAGTGTGGACTGCACACTTATGGCTGGTTGCAAAACAAATTGCGGATGCGAGGCAAAGTGCACTCTTGCGTACGGCTTGCACCTTGCAAAGTCGCAAGTCGCAAGTCGCGCGAGAAATCGCCCATCTTTATACGCGAGCGCATACGTGATTCGGTTTTCCGCACTTGTCATATCCGGCACGTAAGTGTAAATGCATTGGAATGGCATGCGGCATATATGGCTTCGCCTGCCTCAGCAACGCCTTGCACATGGCCTCACACAAAAGGAAATGCCGAATCTTCTTTTCGGCCTAGTATAGAAATGCCTTTGCCTGTCAAGGAGGTCTCAGCAGTATCCTTGTTGTCGCCCGCTCCTGCTTCACTGTAGGCTTCTTCTCAAACACGCACGCTGGGCCCTATGCCCAACGGTGTCGCGATATAGTTGACATTCAGTAAGCTCTCGAGTGGTGAATCTGTGTACTGAGAGTTCCGGACTGAATGCTAAAGTGTGACCGATAATGAAAGCCCTTATGCATTAAAAGGGTGGAAAGATGCAAGTTACAACGAAAACCTGTTGTACTTTTAGTACTTCAGTAAAGGGCCGTCCCTAGTAGACCACTAAAAATTCATTAAAAGGCCATGGTTTCCATGGACCTTATTTTTCCTTTTAGGGGAAAGAGGCACTAAAAGGTGGTACCAAAAGCCAAGGGAAACAGGCCCAAAGCCTTTCAGATGTTCACGTGGTACATACTGTCAGATCCTGTCCTCTAGGTGATGTCCTTCTAGGCCGCAATTTCCAACCGACAAAACGCAACAGCCGGACGACGACAGCGACGACGCCAGCAAGCAGCAGCAGCAGCAGCAGCAGCAACAGCAGAACGCCGCAGTGGCGGCGGCAGCGGCTGCAGCTGCTATAGAGGTGCAGGAGGGTGCTGACATGGCCCTGTCAGCGCCACGGCCGTACCGCGGCCCCAGGCTTAAGCGGCTGTGCACCGTTGATTTGGGGTTAGCGGCGACGGCGGCGGCAGCGGTGATGACGACGCAAGGGGTGGCTAAGGCTGGCGGCGGCGGCGCTAACGCCGCCAAGGCCAAGAAGGGAGGGGGGCCCAGTGTCGCCGCCTCGGCGGCGACGGCGACGGCGGCGACAACAGGGACGGTGCTGATGGCGGCGGTGGTAGAAGTACCCGGGTTGGTGGAGGTACGACGTGTCTCTGTTTGCCGTACTATATTATCTGACTGTGACGTGCTGATGGCCTATATGCGGCCACGGTCTCCCATTTTGGCGGTTGTGATGGTGATTCATTTCCACTTCTTGCCCCCACATACATACATACATACATGCATACATGCGTGCCTATCGCGCCTAACACCACATCACCGCCGCGACCCCCCACCATGCCCCGGTCCATTTCGCAGTGCCGCAGTCAACCACACGCCGCCGAAGCCTCATCATCATCATTTTTCCCCTTCTTCTTTACTATTCTAGTACCTTGTGGGCCCTGTCTGCCTCCTAACTACCTAACTACCTACCTAACAAACCCCCTACCTACCTGCCCACGTGCAGGAGCGGCCGCGGCTGGTGTCCGGTGATCTAGTGTTCCTGCGGCTGGACGGTCTGCGGAAGGCTGAGTACGTGTCGCAACTGCTTGCGGTTGACGGAGGGCAGGTAGGGCGGGTGGGGGTAGGGGGGGAGAGGGGGGGGGATGCGGAGTGGGTGAATGAGTGGGTGAGTGAGCGAGCGAAGTGGGCGAGTGGGCCGTACAGCAGGTACAGGGTGCATGTGCCGCGCTGAGGTTGGGGGCGTTGCAAAGCTTGTAAGTAAACCCTTCGTACAATACGAATGCTTGTCCGATTGGAGGCTGGGATTTATGGGGGGTTGGGGAGGTAATTGGCTTTTTCCCACCCCTCCCCCCGGGATTCAACCGACGGCCCCCTCGCATTTGTGCGGATTTTGAATAGCTTGTAACTCTTACGTATTACGTACGGCTTCCTGTTGTCCCTCATAACGCAGGTGCTCCTAGTAATGCCGCCGGCGTACTGGCAGGACCAGAGGTCGGCAAATCCGGTGGGTCCTGCGGGTCCGTACCACAGTACCCGCAGCCGAAATTCGGCTTAAGGCCCCGGCTGCGGGACCCAAATGACCAAAATTCGACCAAAAGACGTGATTTGCAGCCTCTATTGCGGCCCGTAGGGCCGCGCGCTGGACTCGAACTCTGTGTCAAAGTCAGTAAAAGACGTCACGACCACCTCTACACAATTCTGTGACGGTTATCATTGATAAATTGTTACATTTCTAGCGTCTGTACCGATGGCTTGCAGCTGCCGCAGCACTTGACTTGGTCAATGGTGGACTTTGGCATACCAGATATTGGTCCCATGTGGCCTATCCTTTACATAATCTTCAGCATATTGCTTGTATTTTCAGCATGCTTTCTAACTGCTGGCCGCGGCAAGTCGGCGGCATCTCGCCGGGGAACGAAGGAAACACGTGCGGAAATCTCCAGCGGTCGACAGCGCACGTTGGCCGGCATGCTGGCCGGTCGTAAAGCCACTGCTGAGCCCGCAGCAACAGATATTGAGGCGGAAGAGCCGTTACTTGGGCCATCGGGCAGCGCCGGTGAAGGTCCAGGTTTACTTTTCCCAGCACCACCACCTCCCAACTCCGGAAACGCCAGCACCGTGGCCCTTCCTCCACAGAAGAAAAGGCGCACTCAAGCCAACACCACCGCCACCGGTCCCACTCAGCAACCAGCACCTCTCCTGCCCGCCACCCCCAACACCACCGCCCCCGAACAGCAGCCGGCAACACTCCTGCCCGCCGCCACCCCCAATGCCACCGCCAACCCGCAACGGAAGCGCACCAAGTCCACCAACAAGATCGATGCTGTTGGTGTCCCCCCGGGGTTTGAGCGGCCTCATATTCCCAACGAGGATATTGTTTGGCTGACTGACGCTTGTGGTGGTGATTTCAAGAGCTGGGCCTATGCACTTCAGGGCTCGACGACGGCCATCTGCTTTTTTTGCGACACATATAAGAAGAGTAACGCCACCATTTCCCGCACGAACTGGGATCGCTCAGCTTACACCCGGCACGAGGCCTCCCACTCCCACAAAGCGGCTGTAGACCAGTACGCCCAGGATCATCATCAGCAGCAAACTAACAATCACCTGGCCATGACCGAGGTTGCCGACAATGCCTTGTTGGCTCTGTTTGGTGGCGCATACATGGTCCTGTACCAAGCCATGCCTTTCACTCACTTCCCAGTGATCTGTGAATACATGGACTGGCTTAAAGTACCAAACATCACCACACTGTACACTCGCATTGGCTTTGCCAGCGATCCAGAATCTGTAGAACAGCTGGCATTAGCCCACAAAGCCCGTCTAAGCGGGTTCTGAGGTCCGGCAAGGAGTACCCTACGCCTTCGGCCGCTGCCCTTGAGGAGGCGGCAGCAGGCGACTCCATGACGCGATCCACTCAGAAAGAACCATCTTTAGATGAGATTTACAAGCTGCTTCAGACCCAT